TTTGTTTATTGCCATTAATCAACAGTTATTGAGAGGGAGGCTTGTAATGCCACTGACCACCAGCAATTGAGGGGAGGACGGACAATTGTTTACTGCCACTGACCACCAATGAAGCCACACCCACCTATTGGCACATATTGGTCACTTCCTGTTGTGTCTTCTGGGTAAATACCCTAACAGGACACAGACAGCATCATGTGTACTGCGGTGCAGTACGTTGTGTTGCAATTAATTTTGATTAGCGACCCAACGCACTAAAACAACGCACTGCAGCACACGTGCATTGTAACACCCCCTAGCGTGCAGATGTGTGCGTTGTGGTGCAAAGTGTGGTATGCAAGGTGTGTTGCAACCCATTCCACTGATTTCCATTCAGCCAGGTACAATGGTACCATACATCAATGAAGGCCTCTGTGGTTTGCTGTGACACAGTGATGCTTTGTATTCCTCCCTCCCGGAGGCCGTCTTCATCATTTACCAGCTGATTATGTTCCACAGAAACCTCCGATATTAAAAGAACACTCCACCCTTCTGACCACGTTTCATGCTGTTCCCGTATTTATGGTGTAATATGAAACGTGGTGACATGCTCCCAAGCCTCCCCACCTTCAAACTACCCCCCCTTACTTGAATGACGGGGTGCTTCTACCTGTAACATCTTGCATTTTCCTTAATTCGGTACAGATGTGTTTGGCTCCGCCCCACACAGCCCCATCATCCAATCGTAGATCCAGTCACGGGATCTGAGAATGGCAGGACTGCAAGTTCCAACTGCCACTGCGGCAGAGGGACTCATAGGCCTCAATGAAGCACAAGTGTGGGGATGTCACCGCACTCGTAGTCCATTGACTAACTGAAGGTCTTCACTTATATAGGGACTTGGAGCTGGAGGAACAGTCTGCAGGAGTCTGAGCATTGCACCTTTAGACTTAATCTCTATTCCTGCATCATGCCCGTCCTCTCTATTCCTGCATCATACCCGTCCTCTCTATTCCTGCATCATACCCGTCCTCCCCAATAACACCAGCTATAGAGGAATACATCAGATCCCAGCAATAGTACATTATTTACTATTGCTGGGATTTGTTGTATTCCTCTATAGCTGCTGGTATTCTGCATTGCGCCGCTGTATAATGTACTATATTGCACACCACACGTTTTTTTACTTGCACCGCTCCAAGCTTGCTCCTGTGATGGACTACAATCTCAGTACAAACTAGTAGTCCCATCACTGGAGCCTTTTTTTTCTAATCCGATTAATCAAACTTAATAATCGGCTAACTAATCGATATTAAAATTAATAGTTCGCTGCAGCTCTAATTTCAACTTCATATATTAAGTTGTAACAGTGGGCGGACTCGATGGGACAGCCTGGTAAAAAACCCTGGGGTGGGGGCCCAGGCCTAAAGTTGTGTAAGGGGCCCCAACATTT